AATATAAAATTTATATTTAGGTTCAATAATCGATTTGGTGTGATCGAACTGATTCATAACTTAGTCACCTGGGACCAACCAAGTTGTGTCAAGTTTTTTGACTATTTTAAATATCACCTAAAAGTAATTCAATCAACCTGGGCAGTACCCTAATTCAATCACCTGATTGATCCGAAGAAATTTTCTTATTTTCTTTAAATATATTTAATTTTATGAAATAAAAATATTTTATGATTCATATAATAAATGTCTATACCAAATGATAGTATATTAAGATTATAAATTATATATCTTAAGATGAATCAATTATTTTTACTTTATGCATATTAATAAAAAATAAACATAGTAATTTTCAAAAAATTAAGATTAATTGACTGATTATGCAATTTAAAGAATATTTTTAGCGTTCAATTTTTTTAAAGGCACAAATATAAAGACCGAGATTCTAAAACTTTTATATATTGAATTGAGATTTTATAAATATAGAGACCGAAATTTTAATTTTGTTCGTTGTTTCTAAGAAAAAAATAAAAAATAAAAACATACACACTCAATAAATCTTAGCCGGATTTTTTAAATAATAAAATGAACTATAGCCCGAAATTTAAGATAGCATTTAATGTTGTATGAATTTTAAAGAAAAAATAAGAAAAATAATAAAACTTACTATTTATAGACTGCATTAAATTCTGACCTATTCTTTTGCTACTATTTTTGGTAAATGTTAATTCTTATTATATATATATATAGATATATCAAGTTCCACTGCAAATTTATGAATTTGAATTAAATCATGTTTTCCAAACTACGTGCTATGCACGGGACAGAGATGAGTTATTTCAACAGGTTCTATCCGTTTAAGTCTAAAAAATAATAAGTTTAATCAGCTTGTGTCAGAATATTAAATATGAGCATGTTATAAACTTTGTTGTCATATAATGTCATTATTATTTATAAAATTTATAGACATTGTACGTCTTCTTTTTCTTTTTATTTTATGTAATGAAAAATACTTAATGCACGATAGCATTTTTTATTTATGTAATTAATTTAAAATAAGTAAATAAATTTAAAATTAAACAGTGTATAAATTTTGAAAAATATACACACAATTTTTTTTAGAATTTAATTGTATATACTAATTAAAGAACTTTGATTTAGCAAATGTCAAAAACTATATCCCTTCTATAATCAAGATTTTTTTAATTTTCATCAAGATTTTTTATTTAACTATTATAAAATTATTTAATAGAATATGAAATTATATTCTCCACAATATTCTATTCAGTAATAATATGACATTTATTTATTTACTTTTATTGTTAATTTGTATATATATATGTGTGTGTGTGTGTGTGTGTGTGTGTTTGTATATTTTGACAATTTAATATATAAATTTTATTATTTATAAGAAAAAACATATATTTTTAAAAATTGAATAATTTTTTAATGTACATAGATACTTCTAAGGTGAAATTTATAACTCTGAATTGTACCCGACCATCAAATTATATTTTTATTAGTATATTATTTAAATTTTCAATAGTAATATAACTGCATTTGATACATTCAATCGGGATGTACCTTTTTATGATTAAATTGACTAAATATAATAAACTTTTATTAATATTTTTAAATTATTTAAGTTAGTATGATTTAAACATAGTTATTCTGACTATTTTATTAAATATTTTAAGTACTTCTGAATAGTGAATATTATTAATTTAATTAATACTTACAACCATAGATGATAATATATTTAATCAAATCAATTTCCATAATATTTTTTTTGAACTGTGTCAATAAATTACTATTAAATTAATTAAGATCTTATTAAATATATATCTAATAAATTTACAGTCAAAATTTTAATCTAAGCCAATTTGTAGTAATGAGTAATAGTCATTGAGTGTATACAAATTAATTATGTTTTTCTTGCATAAGATTTGCTAATAAATAAATATTAATTAAATGCCGTCTATAGAAAAAAAATTCCGTCCAAAACATGTCAATTATGACAATAAGGATTGGTCTATTATATACATATAGATATAGATATAGATGCATTATTTTTTACTTTTTTGATAATGCATTTACACTTGAGTTGTAAATGCATTTACTTTTTGATAATGCATTATTTTTTACTTTTTTGATAATACATTTACTTGTAACCCAAGTTGTCATCCAAGTGGGCTAAATAGCATCACTCTTATATAAATACTCTTTCATTTACACAATGTCCTAACAAAAAAAACTTATTTTTCACCCGATAAGTCACGAAATGATATGCGACATTGTAATCGCATATCTAAATGAAACGCATAATTAACAATCATGCCAGATGTTATCGCAAATATACCAACGTGAAGTTTTGGGGGATGTACGTAATATACCAGAATTGCGCTAAGTATGAAAACCAGTAAATTTGAATGAACTTTCAAATAATTGCGGAAGCAAAGATTCTACAAAACATGAACCTTCAGGAGAGCATCCTGCTCTCCCTCCGGAACTCTTTCATTAGCATAGATGTTACATCTATTATCCAAAGGGTTTACAATGTCGATTCCCTCTCCTCTACCTTTGAAATAATCACCTACACTATTACTTTTCCGACCACATCCATTGTGGATTTTCTAGCTTGAATCCCTCAAACTAATCTGAGTGAACCTCCGACCACTCAGTCAAGATTAAAAACAATTTACNTTTTGAGAATTTTTTAAGAATTGTATGCACGTTCGATTTTAGGATTTTATGTTCAATTTAGAATGTAATTATATATGTTAGTTTTTTTAAGGTTTTTTGGAATTGTAAAAAAAAAAAAGAGTCCATTAATTCTAACAAATATGTAGGATCTTATGTTCATTAGCTTTTTTCAATTATTGCATGATTCTTCATATGCAGATTTCAATTATAAAAAAATGATTTTGACCAAATATTTTGTTAACAAAATTTAGAAATTTCCAACCAATTTACACACTTGGCCGGATTTGAATAAATCTACATTAATTTTGAGACTGAATCAAACACACATTCAATTAAATAAGAAAATTAGTTTCTAGATTTTTTGGAAGTTCAAATCAATTGGATTCTTGAAACTAACATTCAAATTGCATGGGCGGGACATGTTAATTATATTAAAAAAATTTACGAAATATGTAAGCGGGAAAACGAAATAATTTTTTGAAATTGTTTGAATAGTTTTTCTTAACTGTATTATATAGTACTCACTCCTATTTTTATTATTTATCATCCTAGCTTAATTGATCATTTGTTAAATAAATGTCGTTTTGACTATTTTGTACATATTTTTCCATTATTACCCTCATGTAACTAATAAATACACTACATCTTTTCATATTCACTCTCAATCTTTTCTCAAAACATCAATCTCTATCCTCATTAATGAGGATTATTATTGACAAAAAAATATTATTAATTATTGTGCAACTTCTCAAAACGACATTTATTAAAAATAGGAGATAGTAATAGATTGACAAGCAACCATATATCTTGCACAATGCAACTTCACACTAATCAAGAAATCAATTATAAATATGATGGAAATCAATTAATTAGCTGTCACTGATAATCCCACCAAGCAAACACTACATTAAATAACTCCATGTGAAATCTAATTTAATCATGTAATTTATAATTCTGCAAAAATCTGGAAACTTCTAGTCATGAGATGCATAAGTCCTGGAAACTGGCGATATTTTTCTGTGGGACATGTGGTGCTGATAAATGATAACGTACCTAATTGTAAGCTGACTTGAACTAATTTGCAAACAAATTATCAGAATTTATTTCACCATATAACTACAAAATAGGTATAATACAATTTTTGGAGTGTGCCAGCCTGATATTTTGTTGAGTGATTCCTTATATTTTTTTAAAAAATAATATTCATATTAAGAAATATCATACTTATGTTTATACATGTTGAAACGTATAATATTTGAATGTGAAATGTGTATATTATTATAAAAATATTTTTGTCTAATTATTAGGTTTATAATGATAGCGTTAGGTATAATTATGCTATAATT